CCGCACCCGCTCAGCCTACTTTATGCAAAGTTTCGTGTTGTAAAGTAATGAATGTCTGAGAGAGGGGTGGGGCGGGGTGGGGTGGGGTGCGGTGGGGTGGGGTGGCCGGAATCATCAACAGCTACTTTGCCTCCCTCTCTCGCACCCGCCCGTGTGGCCGTGTTGGATTATTGTTTGTCGGTGCAGTGTCAACAGGCCTGCCTGCCTGCTGGAGGGGAGAGGGCGGGGTGGGGTGGGGCGGGACGGCGCTGTCCCCGGAGGGGAGCAGGTGGCGGTGTGGTGTAGTGGTGCTGGTGATCGGTCGGGAGGAGCGGAGAGCCAAGGTCAGTTGGGGAGGGAGAGAGAGTGAGAGAGAGTGAGAGAGAGATAGAGAGAGAGGTAATGGAGCGGACTGCAGACAAGTGAGCCTGGAGGGACGGGGTGCGTGGAAGCAGACGACACTTAACTGCCTCTACGCCACGGCCGAGCAACGCACAGGGGGCGCCGCGCGCACCGAAAAGCCATGTGGGGGCGAACGAGACGGTTCACTCACGCGAAAAAGTTATTATTTTACAGTATCGCGTGTCATGACACGACACGGACAAAAGCAATCGTGCAAAAACAAGGAAAGAGGCAAGTGTGGTGGTGAGATTGACAATTATACCGGTTAGAGATCATCATGATCCGCCACATTGTTTTGGCCACTTAGATCAAGAAATTGTTCCGTTCCGCTCAGTTGTTCCGTACCAAGAACAATTTGTTCTGGTGTCTACATGCGTAACGTCTGCTGGTCATGTGAAGGCTAAGACTCTCGAACCGAGCGAGTAGGCAACCCAGCTGCACCTACATTGTTAAGACAAGTTGTTGTCAAATATTGACACACTTTGTAACGAGTATTCTGTTAAAAAAACAACATCATTCGTTTTTATTGGCATGTGACAAAATTCCCTCTATTTCATCCGTAGTGGCCCATAACAATAATTAATCAAAATTATCACCATTTTGTAACACGACAACAAAACCGTTGTTAAGTTTAATAGCAACATATATCGTGACAAAACAAACATCTTTGTTTCCTTAATTTTTTTTGGGCCTAGATAACCACTGTTTTGGAATGAAAATTTGTTTCAGAAAATTTTGTGAATGTTGTTGGAGTACAACATGTTTTGTTTTTTAAACAACATTTGTCGCTTACAAACTTTACATCAAATGTGTTCTAAATTTACAATAGATTTTTGAACAGTGTAGGAATGCGGTGCAGCACAAGCACAGAAGTGCACGGGGTCAATCAGCCTCCTGGTTGCTCCTGGTACACCAAAACATTATTCTGTTCCTCTACGTTTGTGCTACAACATTATGTTGCGTATCACGATTTTGCCGGGCAAGAATCGCGCGAAGGTAACGATCTGAGCTGGATCATGCTTCTGGGGCCACTACGCGGGAATAGACTAGGCGAAAAAAATATTTAAAAGCAGAATGATAAAATATTTTGCAAAATTATGTGATTCAATATATCGGTGTCGAATCCTTCGCGCTACTGCATTCTTTGTCATAGATGTCACCAACATACTTCCTGTGGTCTATCCGACCCTCGCGAAAAGAAACAACGCATCCGCACCCCCGCAGTTCCTTCGCGGTCGGCAGCGAAAACGGCATCAAAAAGGAGAGCTCAAGCAGAGGAGGCCGTCGCACTGCCGTGGTGGTGGTAGAGACTTCGAGTGGCTCCAGCTCCGGCGACAGATGTGTGGTCGCCGGTCCGGAACCGCAGCGTGGCGTGGCGTGGCGTGGCGTGGCGTGGCGTGGCGTGGCGTGGCGTGGCGTGGCGTGGCGTGGCGTGGC